CCTACCCCAGCACCAGGGTTCAAGTGGTTACAGGGTTTGCTCTCAAGGATTCCTCTAAGGTCATTCTCCCACTCTGCAGATAAGAAAAACGATGCCCAAGGACGGGGGTGGGGTGGGACTTTCCCCATAGTCCTGATCTCCTGATTCCTGAGTAAGAGCTCTCCTCACTTCCTGGTTTCTCTCTCTCAGGCTGAGTGCTCAGGACGGAGTGAGATGAGATCCAGCAGGCTGCAACCCTCCCCAGCCAGATGGTAACTGCTGTTGAGCTAGAACATTGAATATTCTTGTTCCGCACCAGCCAAGAGCCCAGGAAACCCAACCTCACAAAGGTAAGCAATAATTCTGCAGCCCAGCAAAGGGCCTTGGAGGCCCAGGGCATCCACCTTTGGGAAAGTCTTTATCGCCAGAGTCTGTGAAAGCAGGGATTTGACACATAGCTATTCCAATCTCTTAGAACGCAGCACCTGGGTGGCCGAAGAGAGCAGTAGGTCGGCTACTATTAGTCCAAAGACACTTGCTTTCCTCATTATTGGCATCTTAGGAGCTTTCTTTATCAAAAGGTCCGTCTGCCAAGCAATTTGCCTGGATCGCGTCATGATCCCCGTGAGTGCCATTGGCACCCCCATCATATGTGGTAATTCCCAAAGCACTTTCAAAATGGCCGGTCTCACCAATAATTGGAAAAACACTAGGGACAGCTCTGGTGCCTACAATTCAAAGAACTTCAGAGGTGCTTTGTTTCTTTCCTTAAAACCTGGGAATCTGTTGAGATAGGGAAAAATCACCAGACATAGAAACTCCCTTCAACAAACAACCCCAGATTTCTTTTCAAATTTTTGTTAGAATGTTATTTCTAACTTTACAACACCCTGAAAAAGGCCAGGCCAAAGATACTTCATAAATGTTTTCTGATGATAGTGAAATCATCATTAACTATTGTTAACTTAAGTAAAAATGTTTATGGATAATGTCTTGCATATTAGTCATTCATTGAATAAATGTTTGTTGAATGCATCCTACATGTCTACCACTGGGCTAAGCCAGGGGAAATGACACTGAAAAAATAAGACACAGCTTTACTTTAATGGCTTTAATTCATTTAATTTCCTATATTCACATAATTCATATGTTCTAGTGGGGCAAAAAGAAAAAAAATTTGCAAACAGGCACATTTTGTAAATTGCCAGTTATAATAAGTACAATAAGAACCAAGGTGGAGATTAACAGAAGGAAATGTGGGACATTTTTAATTATCACATCAAAGCAGGGAATGCATATTACAGACTATAGTTTTGACAAGATTATTTGGTGTGTTTCTTTGTTTTGTTTTTTATATTAGCTGTGTATAAGTTACCACTGGGAGGTATTGAATGTGGGTTGAAGAACCCAGTACCATTTGGTCTTCTAATCCACTGGATAATGGATAACGTGTAATCATCTATTTAATTAAATTTCCTGGTTCAGGAATCAGAAGTTATCAGAGGAGATTAAGATGATGCTAACAGGAAATCTGTTCCCTAACTGTTTTTAACTAAACACTAGCCACGAATATGACAGAGACAAACACGCTGCTGGCAGTGAAAAGAAGGAGTAGAGGGCAAAATTGGGAATGTTTGGTTTGTTCAACTAGAGGGAATAATAGCCCGTTCTGGGCTCCACGCTTTAAGGGTTGTTGACCAATAGGAGCATGGCTGCTATTAGCTGACTGTATTCACTCACTTGGTTCGTTCACATCCAGGAGGTAGCCATCCTGTGGCTAGGAGCCCTGTCTGCCTCATTCACAGCTGTAATCTGGGGCCTTGCTCATGACTGAACACACAGTAAATACGTATGGGGTGAAGTCAATGAAAATGTCTGCAGCAACGGTGATCCCCCACTCCATCCCCTTCCTCCTTCCACGGAGCCTACCTCCCCCCAGACTGGTCTCTCCATTTCCTTCTCCTCTCCACCTGCCCTCAGGAAAGACTCCTCCTGACACTTAAACAGAGCTGTGGGTCCCAGTGGCTCCCTCCTCTCCTCTCCCTGAAGGGGATGGCCATCAGTCTCTTGTTAAAGAAATGCCAAGAATTAAGAGGCTGGAGAGGGTGGGCTGGTGTATTGACTGGGAGAGGAGTCAGGCAGCCCCCTTCACCTACCAGACCCCAGGCCTGGGTCTTGGAAACTGGGTGTGACTGTGACAGCATGCAAAAGATCCCAGGGAGTATCTGTACCATTCTTGTCACCTGACAAAGGAGAAAACTGAGGCCTAGAGCAGGAAAACGACTCGCAGCTTGCCGGTGAGAAATCAGATGAGATCTCAGCGTGGTCCGAACAAGTGGAAAAAACACCAAAGTCTGGAGTGACTGCCCTTCCCACTCCCGGTGCAGCCATATACTGGCTGCTTACCTGGGACCAGGTTACCTAACTCCTTAAGCCTTCGTTTTCTCACCCGGACAGTAGAAAATAGCTTTCTCACCTCTTCTTGGTGATTTTAGTAAATGGAGCAATGCATGTGACATACTTAGAGCAATGTCTGATATTAAATAAAGGGTAGTCACTATTATTGTTGCTATTAGTTTTTTTTGTTTTTTCTTTAAAGATTTTTATTGGGGGAATTGGGGGGATGGGAACAGTGCTGGGGAACTGGGGGAAGGGGAACAGACAAGTTGCTGTCGTTTTGTTC